AGATATGGACTATTTCAATATAGTGGAAAATGCTGCTGGGAGGGGTTGATGGGGAGACTCTGAGCTGGAGGACACATTCTAGCTCAGTAAGGTGCCTTGAATAACTCCAAAAAAAGTTCCACCTTTGCACCAGGTCCTGATGACTGTGAACACTTTAGGCATTGAAGACTCAGATGACTCTTCCGACCGTGTAAGATTATTTAAAAAACACATTCCTTAAAAGAGCTCTTTGTAATTTTGACACATTTAAGATGAAATTTGTATATCTTTTCATATTTTAGAGACTTAAATAATGAGTTTAATAGCTAATGTGAAACATGGCATTAAAATGTCAATGCCTTTAACATATGTATGTGAATCAGAATATAAGAAGGAAATAATCTCCATGCTTCTCTCCTTTTGTTGCCAGGAAATCTACAGTAAGTGTTCAGTTACCACATCATCTTCTATCTTTTTGCTGGTAAAATATCTCTACCCTTTAAAAATATTATATGTGCTTTATCTTTGTTAAATTCATCCAAGGAATTGTGATGTACAGATTTGTCTGATGAAAAATTCATAAATTTCTACTTTAAATGATCACGTGAGCTTACTCAGAAAGACTTCATACCTACTTGAGAATATTATTTTCCCATTAAATACTTATTATGAATAGAATGTATAAATATAAAATCTACATAAATTTCAATAAAAGTTTTAAGTAGATTCAGCCAAATATGATCTATAGTCATATAGATTGAAATGCCAATATTTGGCCACGTTAATTCTCGTCTCTTTGTTTCTCTTGTTCCCCCTCTTATGTTTTGCTGTGCTGTTTCAGTAAAATACCCAGAGATCTGTAAATATTTATCCTGTGATATCTAAGGACACAGACACTCTTTGAAATGTGAGTGTAATTATAAAATCCATGATATTTAGGCCCTCCCTGGTGGCTCAGCGGGTTAAAGCACAGCACTGAGAATCTAAAGCCACTTCCGCATGAGTTTGATTCCCACCTGCCCCGGATGTGACCACATGGTGTGGCAGACCTCTCCTGACTCACCCGCTGCTCCCGTCAGCAGTATACTTCGTTGATCTGCCTGTTCTGTTCCCCACTCTGTCTCTGGTGAAGCCTCTCACTGCCTCTGAGCCTCTGGCCTGTACCCCAGTTCTGTATGCACAAATAAATAAATAAATCTTAAAAAAAAACCATGATATTTAATATTGATACAATGTTATAACCCAATATAAATTCAGATTCAAAATCTTAACCCAATATAAGTTCAGATTCAAAATCTACCCGATGTCCCCAAATTCTTTATCATAGCAATTATTTTTTTCCAATTTAGGACCACACATTATATTAAGTTGTCATACATATATTTATGCTTTTTATTTATTTTTAACAATTTATTTATTTATTCATACAGAACTGGGTACAAGCCAGAGGTGCAGGGATGATGAGAGGCTACATCAGAGAGCGGGGAGCAGAACAGGCAGTCTGATGAAGTACACTGCTGAGGGGAGCAGCTGGCAGGTCAGGAGAGGCCTGCCACACCATGTGGATCACCTCTGGGGCCATGGATCACACTGTAGAGTTGCAGCCAGCTTGCAGTGCTGCATCCCAACCTGTTGCAGGGAGGGCCTATGCTTTTTAAATCTGGATTAAACTTTTATTGTCTTTCACAACAATAATTTTTAAATTATTTTTAAAGATTTATCTATTTATGTATGCAAGAGCTGGGTGTAGGCCAGAGGTGCAGGATTCCCCAGAGACAGTGGGGAGCAAAACAGACAGATCTACTGAAATATACTGCTGAGGGGAGCAGCAGGCGAGACAGGAGATGTCTGCTGCATCATTATCAGTCAGCTCCCTGGCTGGGGATCAAATTCATGCTGTAGTGAGTTTGTACTAAGACTTAACCCCTTGCACCAACAGGGAAGCCTGATAATGACATTTTAAAATAATACAGCTCCATATTTTGTATAATGTTCCTCAATGTGGGCATATTTGTCATGATAAGATTAAGATTGTACATATTTGATCAGAATTCTATGTAAGTATACCATGTTCCCATCCTATCACATCAGCAGGTACTTGAATCAATTTTTACTTTGACGGCATTTTCAACTCAATTTTCCCCACTCTATGTATTAGTATTCTATTGTAAGTAAACTTATGCTTTTTTGGTTTTAGTACTAGTGTGTACTCATAGATTCTTTTTTTGTTCAATAGCTTGTATGATGTGTCATTATTTGCTTTGGTGCTGAAATCGTCGCAGAGTTGACTAATGAGTGCTTCACCAAAATAGCTCTTGTAATCATTGCCATGTCCCTATAATTTCTTTGAATACCTCCTTACATTTTAGCACAAGGTATTTCAGAATCAGCTTATAATTTTCTACCTCAGTCTTGTCTTGGAATAAACATCATCACCAAGATCTCTTACCTAATTTTAGTGGTGATTAATATAGAGAAAACTGGTTTGATGATTTGATGGTATGTATGGTATATATTTCTCATGTGCTCATTGCTCCAGGATTTTTCATTTTATCTATCAGGTTTAGGGAGAACAAAAGCTTTTTGTTTTTTCTACCTGAACCATTCATTTATAATATTAGCTCTAATTCCAGTGTATCACAGTAGGAGTAGAGTTCTTCTAAATTAGCATTTTACATAACTTTGACTAGAATTCTATCATTTTTACATAATATACAGGCACTGATGTTGGTTAGAGATAGCTGCTTCTCCACTTCAACTGTCTGTGCTATTTACTTGTTCTATCTAAAAAATAAAACTATATGAACATGATATATAAAAGTGACAATTTTTCCACCTAGAGGCACTTAACTGATTAAGATAACTGAAAATTAAATGTAGATTATTTGGTAGTCAAAGGAAAAAAGAGTGTAGCAGACTTTGATGACTGATATTGACTCCAACAGGTAATGTAAATATATTTTAAAAAGACATTAAAATATGTGGAATCTAGAAAAATAAAACAAAGGGTCAGATCAAACCAAACTGAAAAATTCACACTTGAAAGATGACTGTGGAATGGGGGCAACTAGAGGAGGGGAGTAAGGGAGGCTGGCAGGAAGGAGAACAGTGAGGGGTGTGGGCACATGGGCTGTGGGGCTGGACTGTGGGGTGGGGGCGGGGGGACACCGCCGCAACACTGTTGAAGGGAGAATCCTGCACTTCTATAATGGAAACAGTGATGTAAGCCAACATTAACTCAATATAAAACCATAGTGCAAAAAAAAAATTAAAATATACTCATGTATTTAAAACATTACTCTATTACAAATTCAAAAGTTTAAGTGACTTCAAATGTAAAGTATATGTGTTTAATTTCAAGTTTGTATAAATGCCAAAGGAATGTATTTGTTATAATCAGTGTTCAAAAAAATTTACATGTTGATTTGGAGTTACTTGTGCTGACTAAAAAGGAATTAATATCTCTAATTCCCATGAAATGGAACCAGGAATATCTGAAGTATTAGTATACAGATAGAGTAACAGTTTATTCATTGATAAGAAAATACCTGTGCCCAGGTATTAATCCAGGGGTAGTGTTGTGCAAGAAGGGGTGGTGTGGGCAGAATGGAAAGCCATAATGAAGCAAACCAAATGTGTGCATCAGAAAGGGTGTTGTCGAGAGGACAGCTTTCTGTCTTTGCTCCCTGGAGGAACAGCCATCCCTGAGGGCTTTGGGCAAATGTGTAAAAGCTTAGGTCCTTGGCTGCCATCATTCCAATTCCTATTGCAATAATGTCATTTTAGCTCACAAGAACGCCATCTAAGGAGGTGAGTGACTTTTTTTCTCTATGGCAAATTCATAGGTAAAGACCTGCTCCTGATTAGATTTATGGGGCATGCAGTAGAGACTGAAAAATAACAGGACCTAGGACATTTTTTGGTGAGATGGACCCCGTTAGAAAGAATAGAGCAGGTGTGTGGTGGAAATATTTTGTGAATTTATGGTGTGCTTCAGTGTGTCAGGTTCTGTAAATGCACAAAGGAGAAACATATTACTCAGGTAACAGAAAATTTACATTTGATTGGGAGATTATTGATAGGTAATCAGTTATGTTCTTATCCATGAAAATAGATACCCTGAATCGAACATTTAGTAAAACGGGTAAAGGATAACTTAAAGTGAGATATGTCATACAGGCAGAGAGAAGTGTCCTGAATAGGGATAACCCTTTCAGCAGAACAAAGTTGGGATATTATCTCCAAGATGATGAGGACATCTGGATCAGAGCTATGGAAATCTTGTCGATATACATATATATAACATAATTGTTGTTCATTTTTGTAAATCTTTGCTTTCTCCTTTGAGGTGTAGTTCCCCTAAAATTCCCACCACCAAGTCACTCTTGAACCATCAATATGTCCCTTGGTAACTTCAGATAAATACTCATTTTTAAAAACATGAATACTGAGGGCCCTCCCTGGTGGCGCAGCGGGTTAAAGCACTGCACTGAGAAACTAAAGCCACTTCCACATGAGTTCGATCCCCGCCTGCCCCGGAGGCGACCACATGGCGAGGCAGACCTCTCCTGACCCGCCCGCTGCTCCCCTCAGCAGTGTATTTCGTCGATCTGCCTGTTCTGCTCCCCGCTCTGTCTCTGGTGAATCCTCTCACCCCTCTGCATCTCTGGCCTGTACCCCAGTTCTGTACGAATAAATAAATAAATCTTTAAAAAAAAAAACATGAATACTGAATGCTTTATTTCTCTCATGTTTCTGTATTAGTTTTATTTTGTATAATTAAGATATACCTCTGTTTTCTGCAATAACATGAATAGTTGCTTTATTTTGTGATTAAAATGTTAATAGAGAACAATTTTTTGTTTATCTTTACATATAATATAGCTCCTGGCATTCTTTGTATTGATTGGGATCAGGTAGATGCCAAAGGTGTTGACAATATCAGAAAATCTGTGAATATAACTTACACTTTACTCTGTCTCTGCTCCTAGATGGTAGAGTCTCATGTGGTCTCACCGGATATGGTTGCCTCAAACCGCAGTGCTCTGAGCCATACAGTCTTCCACTTATTGGGCGTTCCTGGCCTGGAGGAACAGCACAGGTGGATTTCCATCCCCTTCTTCATTTCCTATGTCATCGCTCTGCTCGGGAACAGCCTGCTCATCTGTATTATCCTCACAAAGCGTAGCCTCCATGAGCCCATGTACCTTTTCCTCTGCATGTTGTCTGGAACGGATATTGTCCTCTCCACGTGCATTGTACCTCAGGCCTTGGCTATCTTCTGGTTCCATGCTGGGGCCATCTCCCTGGATTGTTGCATCAGCCAGGTATTCTTTCTGTCTTCTACTTTTGTCTATGAGTCAGGGATCTTGCTAGTGATGGCTTTTGACCGCTACATTGCCATCTGCTACCCGCTGAGATACACCACTCTTCTCACACACTCACTGATTGGGAAAATTGGCCTGATTCTCTTTCTGAGAAGTTATGGTACAGTTTTCCCCATAATATTTCTTCTGAAAAGACTAACATTCTGCAAAAGCAACATACTCCCAAACACCGCTTGTAAACACATTGTCTTGGCCCGTATTTCCTGTGATGACATCCGAATAAACATCTGGTATGGGCTTTTTGTCCTCATGTCAACCTTGGTGGTAGATGTTGTGTTAATTTTTATTTCTTACGTGTTGATTCTCTGTGCTGTGTTCCGCATCCCTTCCCGAGAGGCGCGCCACAAAGCTCTCAATACATGTGGCTCCCACGTCTGCGTCATCATCCTCTTCTATGCACCCGCCATCTTCTCAGTCCTCACTCAGCGGTTTGGACAGCACATCTCACCTCATGTCAAAGTTCTGCTAGCCAATGTCTATATTCTGGTTCCGCCTATGCTGAATCCTGTTATTTATGGGATCAAGACCAAACAGATCAGGGATAAAGTGATTCAGGTATTCTTTACAAAACAGGCCTGAATATGATGATGAAAGCTAACATTGCATTTTTCTCTATAATCCTCGCTATGTATGAGGTTCACCTTACCATCAGGATGTGTGAACAATATAATTGAGAAACTAGTTAAATAACTACAGATACTGGTGTCTCTACAGCAATAGCATTGGGGCAATTTTAGTTCTCAATGCTTTGAAAACCTCTAATCAGCCATTAGGTGTCAGTGTCTTCAGATGATTAGTATTCTCATTTGTAAAGTTGAAAACTAGATCAGTTCACCTCTAAGTTACTTACCCCTCTATAACTTAAGACTGGATATTGGTATAATATAAACTATAGCTTTTCCTGGATAGTTGCTGAAATACTCTTTTTTTTTAAACATAAATATATCATCTTTATATAAACATGGTATAAAATATTATATTTGTCTGCAGCTTGCCTGACTGAAATACTCTTTTCTGACATGTTTTAAGCTTTAAATATATTTTTTTTATTCCTCTATGCATGTATTTTGCATATTCAAATTTTTGTTTCTCACAAATTATTACAAAATAATCATCTGTATCTTGTAATTTTAGCAAAAAAATTTCTTACGGTTGCAACATTTTTATTTAAACTGCTAAGCATTTATAAATCAATATTTAACTATAGTCTACTTCTGGACTAAAGTACATTATATATAATAAATATCAAGCAATGTTAACCTAAAATTTTCATGAACTTTAAAAATATTTCTGTAGTCTCTCCTCACTCCCCCAGAATATTTACTACTATGTATCCAGTATGGTTTCTTTTGTAATATCCTTGGTATTTTCTGCACTTCTTCAATATGTGTTTAGACCTTTCATCAGTTTGAAATGTTTTTTGTCATTATCACCTTGAGCCTGCTTTCTGTTCCACTCTTCTCTCCTTTCTTAGTGTATTTACATTAGGTAATATGAATGTGTCTAGTATATTTTATTACATTTATTTTTGCTGTGATTTTTTAATTGTCATACTTAATTTTTGTTATTTCTACAAAGCTATCTCCCACTTTGTAAAATCTGCTATATAACTCATCCCTTAAATGCTTATCATCAGATAACCATGCCTTACAGTTCAATAATATTCGTTTAATATTTTTTCCAGATTCTAATGTTCTGGATAAATTTTCATATTTTCAAGTAACTTTACCATATTTTATTCTCCTAAAGAAAATTCTAGAATCTTTGGTCACTGCAGTCATCTGTCAGCCTGCTTTTCAGCTATTTTCTTGATCACTGATAGTAAAGATTCATCTTCTTATATATAGCAGTTTTTCATATTAAACTTGATCTTCTAATACTACTAATAAAAATCCTATGGAGGTTGCAGGTAGTGTTATCTTCCACCAGAAATGCTTACTTTATGACCCCTTATGCAGAGAAGTTGATCAAAAAAGTCCAAATGAGGCCTGGCTTAAGTAAA